CCCCCCCCCCCCACCGCCCCATTCCGAAGCCTGCCAGTAGCGGCCACAGCTTCGGCTTCGTCATGCCGTGGAAGTTGAGCTCCTGCACCTTGAAGCCTTGCCTGATGATATAGTCGCATGCTGTGTTATTTAGCCGGACCATGCATGACACACCATTCTCAAAGTTGCTTGCACAATTGCCACAACAAAGTTGCACTCCCAGGAGATCGGGACCGCTCAAAATTTTCTTCCGCCCATAGTGATAGATGAGACTGTTCGTCGTCAGCCTCGGATGTTTTGTCATCGACTACACATCCATGTCCAGGTGTTCGGCCAAGAGACGCCGGCAGGAGCCCATCTGCTCGATACGCGGCCCGCTCGAAGGACTTCGCCAAGTCGATCACAAGCTTCGAGGTGTTCCATTCCAAAGACCTGGCTTTCCAGAACACCACCACCAACATGACTTCCTGGCGCTTCGTCACCGTCCGGCGCCACACGTCTTGTCCTGTTGCGATCTTGGCGTCTGTCAAGCACCTGCGCTGCAGACTCGAATTACAAGCCTTGAAAAAAAGCAGTTAGTTGCTGCGGCGGATGATTTCTGTAGTAACGGCTCAAGTGCCAAGGCCAAGGCCCCGACTGATAAAACTCTGCCTCGGTCAAGTGGCGCAACGCCACGGATGCCCGCATCTCCAGCAGCGTATCCGTAAGCTTGTCGGAGACGCTCTGCATTGCCGCCTTTTGTGAAGGCAGCTCCTGCAATGCTGGTATCAGGCAACTTCGACTTTGACAGCACAACATGCACATCAGTGGTATCACTGCACTCACAAAATCGCTTTGTTTTTTCCCCACTGTTTGCGCCGTGAGCGCTCGCGGTTTCTGATTCGTGAAGTATGCCCGCTGGCCTGTGCATTGCCCTGGGATGCATACACGACGTTGTCACAACAGTCGTTTAATTTGAGCATGCTGAAACTCGTGGCATTGCCACGTCGTGATCGCAAGACTACACCTGCACGGCCACGATTATGGTCTAAGTACGGTCTAAGCTGCTAGGCTACCCTACACCCCAAAGCCCTATAAATAAATCAAATCCTATAAACCGACCCTAAATAAAGCCTAAAGCCATAGAAACCCCTAAAAACTTAAAATCACAATGACATCTGTCATCTGGCAGTCTGGCAACAACACATCCTACTGGTGGCCGGCACTATAGTACTGAGGACTCAGGACTGATCCAGGGGGGGCACAGTCTACTCACTCTGTTTCTGGTTTGGGAGACCTCGTTCCAAGGTTCAATTGCTTCATAGTCAGAGTGACTGCGCACCGATCAGTGCCCAAATAAAATGCAAAGATAATGGGCGGCTTACTGCTGTGCAGTCTTCGCCCTCTTCCTCGGAGAAGCGCTGGGCGGGGGCATGTCAAGCTTGCCCTTGGCATCCTGTTAGGGTTTATGGTTTAGGGTTCAGGGTGCACTGTTTAGGGTTAAGGCCTAGGGTCCTTTTTCCCTCCCACATAGTTTAATTCTACTGTATTCTACTCTAAAGACTCTATGATTTATTTAATTTCTTTAAATTTAATTATATCTTTTTTCGCCGCCTTGGCACACTTATCGATGCGATCCGTCAAACTCTTCGGCAAATCTTTCTTCGGCATGTGCAGCTCAGCTCCACAGAACTTGTAAAAGCCCGTGACATTGGCAAGGATCTGATTCGCAGGGGCAGCCTCTTTGACCATTGCACGGTGCAAGTCCAGCGATTCTGTAGCATTGTGAGGCGGTGGGTTCATTTTTTCTTGCAGCTTGCAGCAAGTTGAAATGGTCCAGGGGCTTCAAATCTGCCCAGGCTTCGATGGCATCGGTACTCACCTCCATCTGGTACATGCGTCCGGCACCTCACTTATTTAATTTTAATTGAAACGGTTTGTTAAGTAATGGCTTAAGTTTAAGTTTAAGTCAACAGCCGAGCCCGAAACCGTCGAGCATGCTGTCCATGGATGCTTTGGCATTAGATGCCTCAGGCACCTTTGCAAGGACGGCCTTGATTTTCTCGTCGTCCCATGTCTCCACACAAGAGAGGATGCCTTTGTACTCCTCGGAATACTTCTTGACGTCATCCTTCGCCTTGCACATCTCGGTTGTCAAGCCTTTCAGAATCCATGTCATTTTCGCCTTGGCACGATCCTGGTACTTCTGAACACCGCGCCACCCGGCCTCAGAGATTTCCTCCAAATCAATCGTGTGCATCTGTGTGAAATGAAGCGCCGCTTTGATAACCGCTTCCTTCTCGAGCTCCAGAATGCCTGGCAGATTTGAGAGCATCGCTTCATCGCTTTCAGCCTCATCGCGGGCGGCTTCCTGCGCGATCTGGATAGAGCGCCAGAGCTTGCCAGCCCTGGTGTCCAGAATGTGGAACACACTGGCATCCAACTTCTCAAGCTCCGAACGCATGTCCTTGCCAAGCAACTCCTTCAACCAAGTCACCTGGACGTCCTCTCTGTGGCTCTGGTCCAGCAAATCAACAAGTTGCCGGGCAGCTGTACAAAGCTGACTGGCGGCCTCATTTGAGCCCCCCTCCGAGACTCGATCGATTTGAAGTTTCACATCTGCGACCCTTGAAGTACAGGCTAGCTTGTTCATGGTACGAACGGCAACAGCAAACGTCTCCGGGCTGGTGTTCTTGAACGCAGCCATGATCGAGCTGTGGGCGACAAGAACCTCACCTAGGAGGCCCTCTGTGCAAACAAACAACTGCTCTGCGACGGGCAAGACCTGGCAGCTTGAATACCCGACAAATTCGACAACAACACGTGGCACGCAAGACGACGCTACACACACTACACAGGAACAAGACACTAAAGACACCGTGGCTGCTGGCCTGAAAGCTGATCATCCACCTGCCCAAGCAGCCTAACTTCTTGACGTTGAGTTCGGCAACCTGCTCCGGCAGCGAAGATTTCCAGAAGGTTGCCGGGGAAGCCGTCATAGTCTGGATTGCGTCGACGAGCACTTTATTCGCGCATGCACGAACCAGCGTCTCCTAAGATACAGCGACTCTAAAGTAGCAAGCTGCTTGCTGTTGCAGATGACGACAAATGTAACGTAGCAAACTCTGAGGCAGCTTCTTCTAGCAAGGGCAAGAGTCAACCGAATTCACAGCTTGCTTCAGGGCTGCAGCTTTCTCCGGGGACACTTCGGGAACTTGCGGCATCGCCTTCAAAGACTCCGACGCCGCGATCGCTCTGTCCAGCTTCGTGGCGGGGTCCTGCGCCACTGAATCAACAAGCCGCAATTTATAGCAAGGTTCACCGACCAACAATCGACACTCACAGAAGCGCACTATGACTATGACTATATCATGACAATCTATCAAATCAAATCCTCCTCCAGCAATGGCATGATCGACGACTGTTGCACAGCTACATCAAGAGATTCTTGAGGCAACTCATCTGCTGCAGCATTCACTTCAGCCGCCACGCTAGCCGGGGAGAGCGCCCGCTTGCTGGCCTGCTCCATAAGCGCCCAAAGCTGCCTGAACCAATGTCGTTGCAAGCAACCCCTCGAACGAACGAAGCAACACATGGGAAACTCAGTGTAAACTCAGTGAATCAGATAACGACAACGAAAGATATCCGGTGGTTCACAAAAAGGCAGACAGTCACGAGTGACTCCGAATGACTTTCCCAATGACTTGTTTTGTTGATGAGTTGCTTGCCGGCTGCGCCGGTACCGGATCGCATGAAGGTCTGAAGCCGCATGGAAAGCTGCGGGCGAAGGTCAACTGCTGTCTTCGCCAAAAGCACATCGATGGGCGACGCCTGCTGCCAATCCTGCATGGACATCAAGCGCAAGACCTGGACATCGAAACGGATGATGGTTGTGAAGCACTTGTTGCCGCTGCTGTCAATATCCTGCTTTGGCGGTTTCCAGTCCGCAGCCACGCGATAGAGCTCAAGCCGCGGCACGGGGCACCTATGTGACCTATGTGACTCTGACTCTGACTATGTGATTATGTCTCGAATTATGTGACTGACTAGACTAGACTAGACTGTACTTAACTTAACTGACTAGACTGTCGACTAGACGATGACTTTGGATATCGCTGCTGCTACCGGCAGATCAGAAATCCGAACCATTACTTATTTCAGCCCTCCTATGTTCAGCGGTGAGGCACGCATTGATCAGCTGCCTGAAACGCTCCGTATTCTTCATTCTCATGATACGGTCATACCACAAGGCTACCAACTGGCTTTGCAAATTCGCGGCCAGTGAGGCTGGCATGTCTGGTGCGTCACGATGCTCGCTCCGTTGGGCAGCTGCAAACACGGTACCCACTGTCAGGCCAGTGTCCATCTTACAGGACGCAACGGCAAAGAACCGCTCTGTACCCTGAACCTGAGTGGCCTCCTGCAAACAAAGCCCATCAGAACTCTCTCACACTCCGCACTCCTAACGCCTAATTCCGAAGTCCTAACTCCTGCCTCCTACACCCACCACCTCTAACCTGACAGCAAGTCCTTGTCAGCCGATTTCAAACACTCTCCAGCAATGTGAAGAATGATGTTCGAAAGCATTGGGACCTGCATGTTCTTCAATGTGTCCATGTGCACAGTCATCTCCTCGGAGGCCGTGCCCGCAACCTCAAGGGGCTTGGTGCGCGCAGCCTGCAACGCCTCGAACCGGGTTTCTGCCTTGCTGCACCACTCACTGATCTGGGTGCTAAGCATCACGGCATCAGTGTCATTCGTAGCTAGCAACGTTGCAGCATGGGTGGACAACGACTTCACAGCGGCATCCAACGCTCGCCTCCGAAGCTTGCTCCCCCAGATGGAGGTGTCCGCAAAAGTCACGTCCTGCTTCTGCAAGGCCTCTCTGGCCTTACGCATGGTTTCAAGGGTCTTCCTCGTCTGATTCGGGGCTGGTGGAAGGGCGCCACCATCTGCAGGTGGAGGCACACCGTCGGTGCGTTGACGCTTGGCGGAGCCCGCCGCATCCCGGGACGTGGTTGGATGTTTACTCGGCGGTTTGCCGCGGCCAGATCCTTTTGATCCCGAGAGAGCGGCTTGTCCCTGATCATTGTCAGGCGCGTCGAACAAACCGAAACGCATTCGGAGCTCTTTGATGTCGCTAGGAGCTGGCAAAGCCTGAATCAAGCTGTCAGCTGCATCTGAATCGTCTGCTTTCAGGGCAAGTGTCTGCCGCACGGTGTCTATGTTGCAAACCTGGTCCGCCAGGCGTTCCATGCTCGAACTGGCCTGCTCGTACACGTTCTCGCAAGCCTCCAGGTCACCCATGATCTCGTTGTCCTCCTGTTGGCACCAAGCAATGGAGAAGTCTGATTATAGTACGAGTTACGACTCAGCCACGACACTCAGTCCACAATGGGATCTAGGAAATTCTGGCTACACGAAATCCACAGAATTAGAAGAATCGTCGGGTTTTAGTCCTCGAACCTCGAACAGACTATAGGACCATCACAGCATGTCACATAATTTTATGACTTGTTCATATAATTTGTATAATTAAAATTTATCAAATTATAAAATTTATACATAAGAGAACCTGGAACTTATTATGATCCTCAAGTCTCAATATCATATATCTCAATCTATCTCTCTTGCTCTTTCTTATTCTTTCTCTCTCTCTCTCTCTCTCTCTCTCTCTCTCTCTCTCCCCCTCCCTCTCTCTCTATGACTACGGTTTCGGTGATGCAGTGATACTGTTACCGAAGACCAAGACCCGTCCTGGCGTTTTGTGGTTCCATTCCGCATGCCGATGTTCACTCCCTTGCGACCGTCTGAATGCAAAGCTTTCAGAACCCCAGGCTTGCCGCCGTCCCAACTGATCGACTGCTCACAATGCTGCTCCACCCAATGAATCTTCGCGGCCATGTTGAAGAAAGACTTGGGATCACCCCCAGCCTCAGAAATGAAGGAATCGATGGGCAACCAGTAAGCCTCGATAAACTTGTCCGCATACCTGAATCAGCAGCACCGTCGGCAAACAAGTTCGAAACAGGAGAGCAACATGCGGTGGAATTGGAGAATATTAAATTAAATTACAAACAAGGAACGCAGTTTGCTCCTGATACGCAGAAATGTCGAAGCCCTCCTTGGACATGCGAGCACCCGGAAGCGCCGCACAAGCACGGTGTTCCTCAAATTTTTGATCAATCTCCTTGGTTGGGGCAAACAACAAATATCATCGCGCAGCAGCATATCAACCTGGACAGCACGTCTCGCTGTTTATCCGCCAAAGTACTGGGTGGGTCTCTCGCAGCTTCTTCAATTCAGCACTCTTCATCGCTCCGAACTTCCGCCCGCGCACTTTCTGCCAGAGAGCACAACATTGGAACGAAATCTCAGTCGGACTCCTATCGATCTCTAGCTTGTACAACACCCACACACACACAAACAAACACAACACACAAAGTGAATGTATATTAAATCATATTTGCATAATAATATAATATATTCTTTTAGATTTAGATTTAGATTAGATTTATGTAATTTATGTAATTTCATATTCCGGCCCGTTCCCCTGCCTCACAGGAGAAGCACTCGTGACCGTCCGCTTCCTTCTCCCCTGTTGACACGTTCAGCTTCAGCTTGCTGCAGCGTACCTGCACCTGCATATCCTTTGCGTACCGGTCATACTGCCCAAAAAGCTGCTCACACTGGTCGCACTTGGCATAACGAGTCTTCGGATTCTCCTTTGACAGAGCCATGCTCGGCGCCACGCCGCACAATCACAGCTGCTCGGAAGTTCACTGAGCTTGAGCCTGCCTATCAGCCTGAAGCAGCATGAACCAAGCTAGGCTTACATTGTGGTCCCTCCCCTCCCCAGCCAGCCGCCCCACCTCGCCCCCTCAACTCTCTGCCTCTTACGAGAGTGTTACGAAAGTCTTACGAAA